ACCTGTATAACAGTCAAGAAGTGACAGAACAGGATATGGAACAACTGATTAGTTTAGCATAGGAAAATGAGTACGATGAGGATGTATAGTGTCCCCTTGCTTATTTAATTTATATGCAGAGTACATCATGCGAAATGCCAGCCTGGATGAGTCAGAAGCTGAAATTAAGATTGCCTGGAAAAACATCAACAACCTCAGATATGCAGATGATACCACTCTAATGGCAGAAAGTGAAGAGGACCTAAAGAGCCTCTTGTTCGAGATGAAAGAGGAGAGTGCAAAGGTTGAAACTCAACATCAATAAAACTAAGATCATGGCATCTGGCCCCATCACTCCTTGGCAAAGAGAAGGGGAAGTCATGGAAGCAGTGACAGACTTCACATTCCTGGGATGCAAGATCACTGCAGATGGTGACAGCAGCCATGAAATTAAAAGATCCCTGCTCCTTGGGAGAAAAGCGATGGCAAACCTTGACAGCATAATAAAAAGTAGAGACATCACCCTGCCAACAAAAGTCTGCATGGTCAAAGCAATGGTATTCCCAGTAGTATTGTATGGCTGCGAGAGTTGGACTATAAGGAAGGCTGAGCACTGAAGAATAGATTCTTTTGAACTATGGTGCTGGAGAGGCCTCTTGAGAGTCCCTTGGACTGCAAGGAGATCAAATCAGTCAATCCTAAAAGAAATCAACCCTGACTGTTCCCTAGAAGGCCAGATACTGAAGCTGAAGCTCAAATACTTTGGCCACCAAATGAGAAGGGAGCACTCACTGGAGAATGACGGTGTTTGAAGTCGTAATAAGCAAAGCACCGCCTGCCTTGATGCAGAGTATTTACAGTTTATTATACAAGTATTTACACACAGTCCACAGGAACTCCGCATTCGGCTGTTAGACCGACAAACTGCTTTGCCAGGCACTAGTAACCACATAGGCAGTCGTAGTGAACTCAACTACATTCTATATATACAGGTACACAACCAATCTCAGTACAGTACATTACAAAATGCCGAGTCATAGTGACTCCTTGAAAGCTGATGCAATTGGCTGTCATGTGACCTCAGAACTGTCAAAGTAGATCACACAGATCTCAGTGACTGCTGTCATCTTGAATAGCATCACACTGTATATGCCAACAGAGAAGACCCTGATGCTGGGAAAGATTGAAGGTCAAAGAAGAAGGGGAAGGCAAAGGATGAGATGGTTAGACAGTGTTATCGAGGCAACGAACATGAAATTAAGCGAACTCTGGAGCATGACGGAAGACAGGAGAGCGTGGCGTGATGTGGTCCATGGGGTCACGTAGAGACGGACTCGACTGTGCAACTGAACAACAGGCAGAATAAAATCAATCCTGAAATAGGCGATAATTTTAAATTACACAGAGATAAAGATGAAAAAGTGGTACTTATCACAAGATGAGCAGTCAGTAATAGAGCCTACAGAATAAAGCAGCTTCATAGAATTAAAACAGTGACTGTCTTGTGGGATAAAACTACTTTCACAGATTTCTGGAAGGTAAAAAGAGAAGGGATTTGGCAGGCTTCCTGGACAGTCAATTTCATGTTCTGGGGTGGGGGGCACAGCTGAAATACCTGTCCTGCAACAGGCCTGTAGCCAGCAGTGGAGTACTGAAAGCAGTGCCCCCCTATCGAATTTGCAGTGCCCCCATGGCTCACCCTCCGCAGCCAGGCCCACCGACCAGCCACATGCGCACACTCCTTAGCCTCCGCTCACCACTGCATGGCATTCACCTTGCATGGTTTCCCTTCCCCTGCAAAGCTGGGTTGGCTCTATTTCAAGTTGGCTCTATTTCAAGTTTTCTGTCACACAGAGAAAGGGCTGGCATCTGCGCTTGCCCTACTGGGCCTGAATTTTGAGGGCAAGGAGACCTTGGTTTATGACCCTGTGCCCTCACAATGAACCTGCAAGCAAGGCTGGGAGGGCCAAGCAGGCTACATAGGCAAGCTATGGAGTGACTGGCTGGTGGGCAGCAAACAAGCAGATGGCCTCCCTCCAGTCAACGGTGCAGCCGGTGAGCCACCACCCAGGCATAGCGGGAGCCTGATTTCCCTTGCCTGCTCTGCGGGCCCAGGTCACCCCCCCCCCCATAATTCTAAAATAAGGTCAGTGGGGCTTTATTTAGATGTAATTAGTGCCCCCTCCTGAAAAAATTCCTGGCTATGGGACTGCCTGCAAACCTGCCCATCTCATCTCCTATTAATGCAGGAACACACAGCAGGGTGCTAGTAGCTGTTCTTACATCCCAGGCAAGCTTATGGAGGTGGAGATGATTCTTCACTTTGGTAGTCGCTACACTGTTTTGCTGTCAAGGTGTCAACTCAAGAAGATTTGTTTAGGGCAGAGCAAAAAAGTACAGGTAGGCGCAGCTGAATGCTTTTTATTTAGGAGCCCAGCCTCTGAAAACTGTTTGCAGAACACCCACTTTCCCTGAGATGCTGCTTATGTGCCTACAGAAACAATGAATCCTATGCCTTAATAATGTGGTCCAAGTAGTTACATGCTGATCCATGAAGCTTTAAGTGAAAGTGACCTTGGATCAAGTATACCAAGTATATCTACTTTACACTGGTCATGAATCTAATAAAAGTAATAAAACACAGTTATCTTCTGTCATTGTCCAAACATTTGTAAGCCCAGCTTCTGCCATAGAATCACCATATACAATTTATCGCAAATAAAACCAGTGACTCTTTTTGTATAAGCTGATGGAGAAACTCAGTTGTGTGTTATATAAAAGCTATGGCAGCTTGGTGCAATCAGTCAACATATGTCACCTGAATGAAACTTGTATTGCTTATTAAATAAACAATGGCAATTCATACTTGTGTGGTTTATAAAAAGAAAGTGCCTGTGAAATGCAAAAATTGTGGTTATGGTTTTGGATAGCTATACTGAAATATGTGGTGTGGAGAAGAGCCAAATAGTAATTGTAACCTCTAGAAATGGCAGTCATGCTAAAAGAAGACCTAACATACTAAAATGTTTGTTGCATATGCATAACTATATACAATAGTTACTCAATACAGAAACTGCAACATCATGCACACCCATAATTAAATAGCTGAGCTGGCTTTCCAGTATCTTTTTATTCAAAGATTTGAAACAATAGTGCCTGTACTAGTGTTTCAAGTGTGGAACTGCACCAAAGAAAACTAGTGCAATTGAAATCCATTGCAGTTGATTTGATCAAGTCAGAATATGTAGAATACTAGCAGTCTATTAAAACGTACCACAATGCTGTATGTTAGGGCAGAAAGTGCAATCTGAGAATGAAGCAGTGTAGTATGTTACTAAGACTGTTTTGGGTGCCAACAATATTCTCAGAGCCAGAACTACTCTGACTGTATGTTTCCAGGGGGTCGCTGTGTTGGTCTGTAGTAGAACAGTTACATTTAAAGTCCAGTAGCACCAACAAGAGTTTCAGGATATAAATTTTCAAGAGTCAGAGGTTCGTTTGTCAGATACAAGTAGAGTAGAAGGTTCTACTGGACTCAAATCTATACGTTTCCGGTAAGATAATATATTCATTGTTTTGTGTGCTTTGGGTTGGATCCAATGACTCCCTTCTACTAATTAAGAAATCTCTGTTTATGTGGAAAAAAATTATTTGTGCAAGATTGCTGTAGAAATATAAAAGTTCAGGTGGCAGAATGAGCGCATCTAAATTTTATGCCGAAATGATGGCAGAATTAATTTAACTACCAATTACATTAGATATTGTTTCCCTGTAAATCAACCAAGTTCCCTCATTGTCCGCTTCCTTGATATGATATGTTTACACAGGGAATATCCAGCTGTATCATCAGACCATCAAAGGCAAGCATACAAGCGAGACTTTGATGCAGAGCTGCAAGAATACAAGCGTTTGCAAGCGGAGCTTGATGCAATCAGTAAAGAACTCTCCCGCCTTGATAAAGCATTGGATGACTACCGTGAAGACAGTGAGGAATATAAGGTAATTCTATTGATTTAAACTTTATTCACTGTATGAGGAATCTTGAATTCACAGAAGAGTGATGCTTCTTACCATTGCTTGGCTGTGTGGTAGAGTTAAATTCTGGTTTTAAGAAGCTGTGTTAAGTCTATCACCTGCTTTTTAAACCAGGCTTCTCCCTGCAAAAAGGCCCTTTAATTTCTATAAATGAACATATATGGCTACTGATTTTTCCGCTTTGTCCTACTGATTCAGTAGTAGGTGAAAACTAGGGGGCCACGAACCGATTACTCTAATTCCAGACTAATGTGAAGAAAGAAGGAGTGCATGCTGTTCATACAGAAAATCGTGGGTTCAATCTCCCATGTCTCCACTTAAAAAATTCTGAGCAGGGGACGGGAAGACCTCTGGCTTGGGCATCTGCTGATACACCGCAAAATAAATGATGCTGGCTAGAACAAAAGTCTGATTTGAAATGGGAAGACTGCTTGATATGCTGAGAGGGCTGGCTTCTATGCAAATGTAAAATGAATTGGTGTAGGAAGGAAGATTATTATGATTGGTATGATCCTTCTTGTATAAGTGTCTCTCCAGATGCCATTGAAAGTAATAACTAGAAATACGGCATCTCAGTTGCATGGATTTGTAGAAATTTCTCTAATGATAAGTGTCTCTTAGGCTATGTAGTCGTGAGCAGTTTTGTATTAATGAGGAAAGGATGCTGTGCTTTGAGATGACAAACAAACCTACATTGTAGCCTGAAAGCTAGTTGGAACTCCCTTGTGCTACCAAAGATTTAAGCACCTGCAGTTATGAAGGAAGTGACATTGTTAATGAAGGTATTTCCTTATCTAGTATGCTCAACAAGGAGGTTGAGTGGGAGTTAACAATATGCAAAGTATTTGTTGCTGTTTATGACCTCTGTTGAGGAAGCTGTAGGTGTTGAATTCTAAAATATCAGAGTTCTTTCCTACCATGTATGGTTGAGTCATCTGATCTTCTAAGCAATTCTATGCTTGTAATATAGTAAGTTGGGGACTCTTTCTACAGGTGTCCTTAGTCTGTTGTGCTCTGCTCATAGCTGGATGTTTTGCCCCTGTCAGCAGTCATGCATAGAATCTGTTAATAATACTTCAGCATGAATCAAAGCTGTTTTTTCTGTTTCACTATTCCTTGTTTTCCATCAAATCCCATTTGTCTTCCTCTGGTCTGCATAGCTGGCAGTGGCTCTCTAAGATGTCAGGCAAAGATTCTTTTCAGGCTTACTAATAGGAAATGCTTTTTAACTGGAGGTGCCAGGAAACTACCTGTGAGCAAAGTATGTGTACTACTACTGAACTCTCTTCCACTTTGATAGTGTGTCTAATCAATTTTAATGAGGAAACGGGGTGGGTGGGCTTCCTTCACATGTACACTATTGTTTTTCTCCTTCAAAAATATTTATAGAGCCTTTATAATTTAGCTTCCTTATGTTAGATTTTGGAAAATGTGTGTGTTAGTCTAATTCAAGCCTTTCCCCCCCTGTCAGGTTGCTGCTGAAGAATACAACAGACTGAAGGATATCAAAGCTGTAAGTTTACTTAATTCTTTCTTGAAATGTAAATTTAAACAGGGATTTCTCCTTTGCCAGTAGTGTGCTAACCTAGAAGTGACATAACTGGACATAATTTTCACAGTTCTCCAGTGTCAATTTGATTATGTTGCATACCATACTGTGCATACATACTTACAAGTAAATCCAATTGTATTAAATGGAGCTTACTCTCAGAAAAGTGTGCATGGTAATACATCCTGTCTTTTTTTTAAATAAAGTTTATAATGTTTCTACTTTTTAGAAATACAGCAGTTATTTCCGTATCCCACAATTACATTATAGTTCTGACTTTGTAACATTTTTAGAGCTACCACTCTAAAAAGCTATGACAGACTTTTCTTATAGGGGTTGGATACAAATATAACAAGTAAAACTAATGAATCTTCTGGAATTGGATATTCTGGAGACCTAGCCACAGGCTGGAAAAGGTGTCTCTCCCCCCTCCCCCCCAGTTATCCTTTAGTATAGCAAGTGACTTAACATTTCAGCGATATGGACATTTTATCTGTATAGTGCAAATTCTGTAAAATGTGATAGCAACATCTAAGTCTGACAGGTACAGCCTTAATGCAATTGGAAAGTTTGTTTTCATTGGCACATTTGGTGATAGGCAGAGCAGCTATTGAACACCTCTGTATAATGCCTTGGCACATATTTGGTGATTTTACTACTGTTGCTGCAACACACTTGATGAAATAGTAGTCCGTGCATTCAGGAGGTTCTGCATGGGTATATTGTGCCACAGCAGTTTCCACTGCTTAAGAAGCGAATGGCCGTTAAAAACTGCACTGAAGCAACTTTTATGGAGGCAACTTTTATGGAAAGGGAAGCTTTGGCCGTATGGGTCACTTGTGCTTCTTTTGCATAAATGCTGATATGGACCCCTTTGACTAATATAACAGCCTTAAAGATGCTTTCTTCCCCCTCCATAGTAACCTTGCATTGCATTTTTTCTCTCTAGTCATCAGACTATAAGAACCGAAAGGAGCACTGCAAGAGGCTGAAGAGCAAGCTATCGCACATCAAAAGGATGGTCACTGATTATGATAGTCGGAAGTCATAACAAGGGGGAGGGAGCGTATTTGCTTAAATATGTATACTTTCATAAAGCTGGGATGCAGTTGTTTTGGATCACAGGTAATTGAAGAAAGCTATTGTTTCTTTTTTTACTTTACAACTGCACACATTTGTGCCATGTTAATATGAAGCCTGAACTTTGGCACTCCATATATTAGGGCCTTTCGTACTTTTCACTGATTCAAGGGATTTTGTCCTGTACATCCTTCACATGCTGTTGGCCATAATGTAAAGGACTTTAAAAAATTGTTTACCTTATATCTCTGTAATGACTTGTGCTCCATTTTCCTTGGCATGTTGCTATGTGCCTTTTAAAAGCAGTTACAAAATACTGGGTATAGTCTTCCAATTCCTTTTACAAATCCTACTTGTGTTTGTTGTAGTGTTGTATGCTATTTACAGTGTGGGTTTGGTGCTTTTCATAGAATAGGACGGGACCTCCATGGTCATCTAGTTCAACCCCCTGCACAATGCAGGAAATTCACAAATACCTTCCCCTCCCACCTCCAGTGACCCCCTGCTCTATGCTCTGAAGAGGGCAAAAAAAAACCCCTCCAGGATCCCTGGCCAAACTGGCCTGGAGAAAAATTGTTTCCTGACCCCAGAGTGGCAATCAGCATTTCCCTGGGCGTGTAAGAAAGGGCCACAAGAACTAAGCACTGATTCAACCCTTCCTGCCTTCCCTCTCATGAGCTGCCTAAGTTCACTGAATCAGCATTGCTGTCAGATGGCCATCTAGTCTCTGTTTGAAAACCTGAAATGTTAATTTTACTGCTTTGCAAGTTTTGAAAACACCCATTTTTGTTTGTAACTAGGACATCTGTGAATGTCAAAGTAATAGAATTACCTTTTTGAATAGCATAAATGTGTATCTAAATTCTGCCAATGTTGCTCATACAGTATATTACAGTAACTACAATGTGAAACTAAATGTAAATATATTTACAGGGTTTTTTAAATTTCAATTTGTATTTTTTAGATTTTTATTGTACAAATGTAACTATGAGTAATCGCCTAAGTGTCTTTTATGTGGGTTGCTCTTGATGCTCTTTATACAAATCATCAAGTACTATCTGATTCTTTTAAATTGCTAAGTGTAGACCAGTCTGTAGTGAAACAGATTTGTAACCCAAAGTAGAGATGAATGTCCTTTAGAACCTTGATGATTCTCTTTTAATGTAATGATAGTTATCAGAAGCACAAAGAGTCAAGAAAAAGAAAATGGTCCACAAAACTGGTGCTCAGGCTGTCTTAAGAGTGGCCAAGGTTACTCTAACATCAGTCCATCATCAGTGTTGTCTCTGTTCTGCTAGGCTGGGATTTGCTTCCATCCACCAATGTGATACTGTAATACAGTTAAATCAGAGTAAGTGTTCTTTTACTCATGCCCCTGGATATGCTGTCTAGAAGATCTGCTGTGAAGGACCCTGGTAGCAGTGTTCCCTCTAAGCTGAGTTAGTGTGAGCTAGCTCACAGTTTTTTAGCCTCTGGCTCACACATTTTTGTCTTAGCTCAGGAAGGATGGCTCCAGAGCTAACTAATTTATGCAGTAGCCAAATCGCTCGCTCACAACTTTAATGCCAGTAGCTCACAAAGTAGAATTTTTGCTCACAGGACTCCACAGCTTAGAGGCCTGGTAGAGCTTCATTCATTTCTCCTGAATAACATTAGTAGATGTTTCTTAAAGAGGCCATCACACTGGCCACATTTTTTGTTCAGTTAGATAGTGAAGCAGATATTTTCCCCCAACACGGAATGGGTGTGATGGGCAGAGCTGTAACAAGGGCAAAATTGAGGGGCGCAGAAGTGTATCCTGTCTAACATAAAATGTTGTGTTATTATTACTTTATGTATACTGTAAAAGTATAGGAGGTGCAATTTTATATTCTTGCTTCGGGGTAAAATTAGCTGATTATGGTTCTAGGGATAAATGAGTGCTAAGACATGTTTATTCCAGTTCACCAGTCACCTCCTGAGGACAATACATGATCAAAACATGGGAAATATGTTTGTTTACACACATACACACAGTATTTAAACAGAAGGAAGCACACCCTGATTGTATGGCAACCCCCCTAAAGGTTGTGAAGCACGACTAGTATGCAAATTTAAGACGACTCTCTCCCTTATTTTTGTTGACAGCATTCCTGGCCAAAAAACACACTAGTCTTCTTCAAGTAAACAGGATTTTTAAAAAATCATCTTAAGGACTTGATGAATGTCCACAGTAAAGACATGTTTGATGGTGTACCACAGGCACCTTCCCCATTCTGTTATTTAGTATAGTTTATTTAATGGCTTTCGCCAACTTATAATACAAAAATAAAACTAGATATAGAAAATAGAAAAATAAGATTTGGATTTAAAATAATATAATATGGAATAAAATCGACCAGAGTTAGGATAAATGGATTATAGAGTAGGATTCATCTTCTCTCTACGTACTGCAAGACAGGCTACCCAAAACCGAGCAGCAGCCTGGGAAACCTCTGGGTCCATGTCCGAGAGGATGAAATCTTGAATCCAATCTGGGCTGCATGCATAGATTTTACTCTGGATATCAAAGAGAAGTTTTGTGCGAGGCTCCTCATACCAGCAGCACTGTATTAAAACATGTTGTAGAGTCTCTACTTCAAGCGCACCACAGGGGCAAAAACGCTGGGAGAAGTGGGTTTTGTTAAATCTACCCTCTAAGACCATAGACGGCAGGGATGGACTCCTTGCTAGGGGAAAAGCCCTTCTTTGCTTGGGATTCTCAATGTGGAATAAATAGGATGCTGGAGCTGGATTATCTCTAAGGGGACCAGTACATATAGATGGGGAGAGCTTGGCCAAGTCTTCCAGTCTGTCTTGGTCAAAAAGTTTCTGCCTTACCATTTGGAATGCCTGTTCATTGTTTATAAATAGGAAATTCAGGGGAGAAAGTCCCACTGATTGTAATTTCTGATGAATAGCTTTCAAGCATCTGGATTGAAAGCTGTCTGCTATAATGCCATAGGTTGCCACCTGGGGATTGCAGTTTAATTTAAGCCAGAATTTTTCACATGGGGGGTTGCAGTTTAATTTAAGACAGAATTTTAAAGATGCTAGAACAATGCTCGTTTCCATTTTAACGACTCCAAGCTCAAGACAAATAAAAGTGTTTGGAACGCATTTTGGCATTTGAAGAAGAGCTCAGAGAAATTTGGATTGTGTTCTTTCTAACTTTGAAAGATCCGTGGCAGAAGCTCCTAAAAAGGAACCATATAACATTACAGAGATGGTTTTGGCGTTGTATAACTTTAGGGCTGCTAGGATAAATGAGGCTCCTTTCTTCTCAAGAAAGGCTATAAGCAACTAATAGCTGTGAAAGAAAGAACCGTACAGCCCGGCTATGGTCAGAATTGGTTTCTGCAGCCAAGCAAAACAACGCTTCCAATTTTTGGAAGCTAAGCTCTACTTATTCCAGAGGTTATACTCTCCAAATGGATCCGTCTATCCCTGACACCATCTGGACTCCATATTTTTCGATCCTGTATAAGGATATGCCGGCACCCATTACTTAAAGAGTAGATTTTCAGAGAGCTCCACCTTGGCCTCAAGTTACTCCAGCTGAAATTAAATCCCATATTCTTTGTCTGAGAAAAGGTAAAGCCTCAGGCTTTGACCAGATGTGCCTGGAAATTTTTCTAGATCATATTTCATGGTGGTCTAAATTTTTAGCTGTTGTGTTTACACATATGGACACTGTTGGAAGCATCCCTAGTGACTGGAAAATTGTGGTAGTAGTACCGATCTACAAGAAAGGCAATAGAGATGACCCCTCCAATTATCGCCCAATCAGTCTTCTAAGCATTTGTGCCAAATTATATGATAGACATCTGCTTGAAAAATTTAACTCTTGGGCGATGCAAGAAAATATTTTTGCATGGGAACAGGCTGGGTTTAGAGAGGGTAGATCAACCCAGGAACATTGTATCCTGATTCACCATACTATTCATTCAAACATTAACAAAATTTTATACTTCAGCAGCTACAGCAACTGTGGCCACAACGATATATGCAAGTTTAAGGTTTGCTGATTATTTATAGTTCAGGTTGTGGGTTTGCAGATTTTCTGTGGTCTACAAATAATTTAATAATCTGAAAAGGAAGAAATGGAGCATGGCAGAGGTGGTCTACAGCCACGAGAATAAACAGCAGATTCTCAGTGATGACAAATCCCTGAAAACGTGGCTCGCAGGGTCCTGTTTAAAGGCCTTTTTTCATCCTTTGGTGAGGGGTTTTTTTTCCCCCCCAAGTTCATTATGCCAGTTGAGAAGGTTCTGGAAATCTGTTGAAGCACTTTTCTGATCATGTGTGTCTTATCTTTACTAAAAGACTGTTTTGTTTGCAACCCTGTTAAGGACAAGAAAACATTTGGTCTGCCCTACATCTATGGGAGAAGTATTTTTATAAACACAACAGCAATGCAAACATAGTCCTCACCCAGTTTCAGACTGAGTCAAGAGTAAACACTAATGGGTGTGAGCTATGAACTACACTCAAAAGATTCCATGAATGTTGATGAACAAGCACCAGACACTTGCTGCTTAATAAACTACTGAGTCAATAGTTTTTTTTTCCAGTTGGAATATGGTATTGGCAGAATTTTAAGGACAGCATGGTATCCTGAACTATGCAAATAAATTGCAGAGTGTAAAACCCATCTTTAATTGCATGCTCTTGTAGCATACCATAACTGCAAAAGTACTCACTGCATAGTTGCTGAGAAATGTGAAGATGCTTAAGTATTTTGAGGTCATAATCCTGACACGTTCATCCCGTACAATTTTATTAAAAGGGTGCAGACCAAATGGTCATAAGTTTATAATTGTTTTGTTAGAATTACTTGGTGTCTAATAAAAATTAAGCCATTAATGGCTGATTTATTAAGATAATTGTACTCCATTTCTGTGTATTCTGTGCATGCCTTGTGGAAATGAATGGGAGTGGTGCAGCAGCAGAGTTTGGTGGGTTGGGTCCCTCAATATGAGATTTTTCTAACCACTTTCTTACAGGGATCCCTAGCATTTTTGAGCCTGCAGCCCTGTTTTGAGAGGGGCTGGTGAGTGCCATCCAAAAATGGCTGCCACAGGAGTCAGCGCTAAATGCAACACCTCCCTCCTTGATTTGCAAAAGCTTTGCAGAAGAGGGATAAAAAAGAGAGGCAAAGGTAAGGAGGAATAAAAACAAAGGAAAGAAAGCTCAAGGGTGAAGGGAGACACCAGAGAGTAAAACAAAATGAAGGAAATCCTCCATCAGCTACTACTGCTATTGCAGCTGTGGGAAATCCTTTCCTTTGAATGAGAGCAGCCAATAAGAGAAGAAGAGATTGGATTTATACCCTGCCCTTCACTACCCAAAGGCGTCTCAGAGCAGTTTACAATCCCTCTCCCTTACCCTCCCCTCAACAGACACCCTGTATGGTAGGTGGGGCTGAGAGAGCTCTCTCAAGAACTGCCCTTGAGAGAACAGC